TGCCTCCCGCGCCTGCGCAGTGCGCGTCCACGCCTGTCCACTGACCCGACTCCGCGCTGCTCGCTGCAAGACGCTGGGAGCTCCTCCGTGTTTGTGTGAAGTCTCTCCTCTTCAGACCTGATTGCGTCCTTCTGTCAAGAGACAGAGCACCCCAGGCCAGCGCAACCGACAGGGGTTTGTTACCCACAGCTCGGACCGACACCGCGCCGGAGTCAAGGGGGCCGCGGGGCCCAGAGTCCTGGCTTCATCCCGGGACAGAGAAGTTCGGCTGGTCAGTGTGACCCGGGAGGCTGCGCTGCTGACCCAAGTGAGCTTCCTCCAGGGCCCCTGGGAGAAAGCCCAGGAAACAGGGTTTGCCAAGAACTGTCTGAAAGGTAAAATAATCCCCTTCTCGCCGCTAAATTGAAATTGATATGAGCCTTCCTACCCGAGGTCTGGGCAAGGACTCTGATATTCAGGACACACCATGAGGTGTGCCACACACTCAGTCCAGCACACCCAACTCCATCCCACGGAGTTGCACAGGCCTAGAAAAAAAAAAAAAAGCTCTAAAAAGCCCTAATGATGAAGCAAATGTGATGTTTACACACAGTGGAGTATTACTCTGCCATAAAGAAGGATAGGCTTGAGTCATGTGTAGGAAAAGCGATGCACCCTGAGATCATAACGTTAAGTGAAATAAATCAGACACACAAGATTAAATATTTATCTTATATGAGAAACTTAAAGTATAAATACAGAGCAAAATAAGCAATAGGTAACAGGAAACAGGGAGCTAGATCTTTTGCAAATGGGGAGGGAACCAAGAGATATAGGGAAGGAAGGAGAGGAGGGGAAAGGAATATGCAAAAGAATTAAGATGTGTTCTGCACATGCACCAACTCCTCTTAATAAATGTGACATTATGTACTACAAACATGCACAAATAAACAATTTTTTTAAAAAACCCTAGGAGACTAGGAAAAATTTGCATTAGATACAGCAACTAGCATTTTTCCATCTACTATATCATCTTCAAATCATTTCATGGTTGTGAACATAATTTTTTTTAACTTTTTGTTTAGAGGTAATTTTTGTTGGAACCAAGGATCAAGAGATAATTTTGTATTTACAGAAAGGCTGTAAAAATGGCTCAGAGTTTCTGATTCCCCTCCCCCAGCTTTCCCTAAAGTTTACATTTTACAAAATCATACCAAGGATACCAAAATTAAGACAACCGAAGTACAGTACTACTAATTAAACTACTAATATTATTTGGATTATACTGGGTATATTATTGTGCCCTATTATTCCCCTTTCTGAAAATTTTTTAATTGACAGAAATTACATATATATTATATATATGTATGTATGTATATATGGACATATACACACATGATACAACATTTTGAATTGTGTATACATTCTGAGTTGGCTAAATTGAGCTAATTAACATGCATTGCCTAATATATTTATCTTTTTGTGGTGGGAACACTTAAAATCTATTCTCTTAAAGATGTTCACATATACCACACATTGCTATTAACAGTCATCACGATATAGTAGATATCATGGACCTGTTTCTCCTGTGATACCCTCCAGGTTCAACCATGTTGTCATGATGCTGTGCATTCCTCCTTTTTGAAAGCTGCATAGTATTCCATTGTGTATATACACCACCATTTTTTAAATATCTATTCATCCACTGATGACACAGGCTGATTCCACTGACACTGGCTCTTGTGAACAGTGCTGCTAGAAATCTGGAAGTGTAAATGTCTCTTTGAGGCAACAATGTCATTTTTTTTGAGTGTCTAACCAGTAACAGGATTGCTGGAACATATGGTAGGTCTGTCTTCAATATTTTAAGAAACTTCTATAGCGTTTTCACTAATTTACATTTTACTAACATCATGGAAAGATTCAGTTTTCTGCACACTATCACCAAAGCCACCTCCCCACTGTCTTCTGATAATAGCTGCTGTAAGGAGTGTGGGGTGGTAACACACTGTGCTTTTATCTGCGTGTCCTGATCTTGCATGTTGGTGGCCTTTCTCTCAGTGGTCCACTGGCTGTCTCAGGCCCTTCTTTTGAATAATGTCTGTTCCAATTCTTTCCCCATTTTAAAATCGGGTTATTTTCTTACTAGTGAATTCTTTGAGTTTCTTGTACACTTTGGTTATTTTTAAGCAAATAACTAAACTCTTTCCAGATTTCTTCAAATTGTTAAACATGATAATGGCACCAACTTGCAACCTGAAAATCCACCTTCAATCCATGACACGCAAGTTCCTAACCTGGCCTCAGTTTCCCAGCTTATGATAAGGGAACCATGACAAGGATCCTACTCAGCCGACCCTGCTCCCTCTCTGGCTCTGAATCTGACAGATTCCCCACCCATCCACCTCTCCTGAAACCTGTTCCATGATCAGTGAGCTCTGTGAAGAGGACAGCTGGAAGCCTGCCCCACAGAGCCGACATATCCTACCCTGTGGGCTCTGTACCCAGGAATTTAAAACAAAATTTTAAAACTCTCTAATGCCAGCGTTGCAACCAATCTTACAAAGCACCACAAATATGAGTAGACTTTATCTTCCATTTGAACAAAACCTTCAGTCCAATGGCTCCAGAACAAGTTGCCTAAATAGTTTACTAATTGCTGTTTTTAAAATTCCCAATACTACATGTTTAAGATTTTCAGAAAAGGAAATCCAAAGTGATCTTTACCACACCCCAGACCACCCCCTTACCACACTCCGTTTTGAGTTATTGCTTTTGCCTAGGAGTTTTCCAGGCCATCTATGGTGCAGGCAGGGACTTCACCTTAGGGGAGTGGTGGGCCTGACCCTTTCCCTTCCTCTCTCTGCTTTCTGGCCACCAAGTGTGCAGTCTGCTGGCCATGAGACCTCATGTGCTGTGCTGCCCTCACAGACCTAAAGACAGTGGGCCAACCATGAACTGGAACCTCCAGAGCTGTGAGCCAGGAAACACCATTGCTAAGGTTAGTTTCACAGGATTTGATTAGAGGGACAGAAAACTAACACATTCTCACTGGATGCAGAAGTCTAGGGCACCATTGTTTCCCTGAGAATTGTGTCCACACTGAAAGGATAAAATGTAAAATCACACAAAATGGTGTGATCTGTGCTGGGAAAGGACACAGTCACCAAAGGACAGACCCTCAGGTCAGGTCACCAGATCATCTCCTTCCCACCCAGGACACAGTGGCATTGACATGACCCTGGACACCCCGGTGAGTGAAGCAGTGTAAGCACATAGCACTGCACTGTGCGACAGAAGGGGAGGCAATACTGTCCAGGGTGCCACATTCCCATAAGAAAGCAAAGGTATTCATAAATGTATGTGTAAATATCATATGTTTACATGTATTTATATGGTCATGTGTTTATACTTTCAAAAAACTAAAAAACTTTTTTAATTGTATTTTTAAGTAGGGGTAGAGAATAGATAGGATTGGATTCTCCTAGTGTATCCTGTTTTGTATCTTAATTTTGGAACCATATATAAGTTTTAGATCATTAAAAAACAAAAGCAATCCCTAAAAATAACAACCTGAAACAAATGAACTTAATTGTACAGCAAGTTGAATTTTAAAACACCAACTGTTAAATATACACCCAGTGGAAAATGACCTAAGGACAGCAAGAATAACAAAGAAGTCTTAGACACTGTACTTGATGTCCCTCTTCTTTGTAGAACTGTAATTAGGAACTGTGTTACAGTCACCAGGAATAATAGAGCTAAGTCAATTAAGGGAACTTGTTGATGTGGAGTTTCTCTTGAAGTCACAGAAAGGAGACATTAACATAAAACTTTTTCTCATTGTAATAATCATTTAAGATGTGAAACTACAATAATTGTAAGGTCTTGAGGGGCAAAGATAGAATCTCAAACTCTGTAACTCTCTCACAATCTAAAACATCACACAGCCTGCTGTAAGTCAATGTCATGGATGTCTGGCCAGGGAGCACATACATGCTTGCTTAAAAATCTGTTCTGAGTTAGAATTTTTCAGAAGAAAGTTTGGCATTTTGAACAACGTTATTCATAATGCACTAGGGACACTATTATCTGTCCCTGTTGCCGGAAACAGAGATGCCCAGAACGAAGAAATCAATAAGCCAGAAGACACCACACTATACCACACAGCTCTGTCCACATCTGTGCGTTATGTTGGAAGAATCCCAAATAGCGGTTTGGAGATCTCAGGGTCATATGCAAACATGGAAAGAGATCTCTTCTTTCCCCTCCTCTTATTCCTTAACCACACATCGAGTGTCCGCTGTGGGGAAGATGCTTCCTTCTATAGCAGCAAACTGAACTCCTGACCCAGAGCCCAGAACTGCTCTGTGACGTCGGGGACAAAGGTACACCAACCACCCACACCCACACCCACACACACACACATGCTTGGCCACCCTGGGTCTCCCTGGCATCATCTAAACCAGAGGCCCTGCTCCTCATCCACCCCCAGACTGATCGTATGGAATGACTCCCTGCTCTCAGGAGAGAGTCCATGTTTCAACTGACCAGAACCCCAGGTGGCGGCCCCATCCCACAGTCGGCAGTGTTAGGTTCCTGCCAAGTGGATGTCCTGCACCTCGAGGTTTTATTCATAATAAAATCCATGAGGTGGCCTGGGCTCTCTGCGGGACGATCACAGGACTCAGCCCCTGTGCCTTCCCTAACTGCTCTCATGACCTGGAGAGCTGGTTTTGTGTGCTCATCCCCACTCCCATCACTGCCTCCCACCCAAGCCAGTGAGCAGGAAGGAGAGCACTTCTCACGCTCTCAGGGCCCCTCGCTCCAGGGAACTCGGAGAAATGTCCCAGAAGAGCAGCAAGCTCTCCAAGGTGTGAGGGAAGACAGAGAAGTGCGGGAAGTGGCTCCTGTCCTCCGGGTTCTCACCGAACAGTGCGAGAGACTGACGAAGAACGCCTGAGAGCCAGTGGTGCTGAGCTCTGCCACCTCAAGCATAAGTCATAATTGGAACCTGGATCCTACAGAAAATGCTAACCAGGAAGGGTCTAGAGTCCACAGACCAGAGAGGCTAAAGAATTTGCTCCAGTCACACAACTAGAGAGTCCAACGCAGGCAGCCAGGCACAAAAGCACATCCTTGTATTCTTGGCACTCTGGGAGGCTGAGGAAGGAGGATTACAAGTTTGAGCCCAGTCCAAATAACTAGAAAGGCTTGGGGATGTAGCTTAACACAACGGCTCTGCTTTCAATCCCCAGTACTCACCCCCCAAAAGAACTCATGTCAGAATTTGAATTCAGAACCACAGTGGCCCAAACCTTCCTACTGGGTGCAGTCTCTGCTCTGATGGTTACTAGGGACTTTCTTGGAAGGGAGAGAGGGGAGAGGAAGGGAG